TTCTGTGTTGAATGCAGTACTTTGGGATATTTTGCATTATTCCCTACTGCATCGTACACAACATCAATATTCCACTTGTACAGGATCTTTTCCTGTTTGTGTGGATACAGATTGTCCGACAGACTTGTGTCCGGCATTCTTGCGTCAAATCCCGACATCTTGCACGATCAAATTCCGATCGCACCCTTGTACTTGAATAGTTTCTTTTGGAACGTAAAAACTCATATTTCGTCATATCCCAACACTACCCTTCAGGGTACAATCCTGTGGAGACTTCAGCCAACATACTCCTCAACATTAATCTCGTCAAGTGTAGCGCTGGTGCCTCACCCGGATCTGAACGCGGAGGCCTGCGTGGGCTAGGACAATATCTAGCCACCAATTATGATACAAATGAACGACTCCCAACCTGTCTGTCTATACCATTTGTTGGTTTGTCTGTCAAAATAATTTTGGTTTACTGCGCGTTTATGCTTTTTTTCAGACGAGTCTGTGCTTCGAGTACGTAAAAATGAGCCCATATTTTTGCTTTTACGAACTTGACTTTGTGCACGTCCCAGAGGTCGTCCCCCATTAGGTCAAACTTTTGTTCAAAAACGTAACGTGGGCAACCCACGTCGCGTATTTTGCGCAACGGTTAGGATCAGCCTTGATCGGAGAAACGGTTCCAAGTATCTTGGGGGTATGTGATGGAGAGATCCCGCAACTCGGTTACAATTTTTTTCACCATGGTGGAGTCCGTTTGGGAGGTGGAAATATGAGGAGGGGTTGTTTGAGTCGAGGTAGTCATTTTCCCATAAGTAGATTTGGTCGCGTTTCATTTCCTTTTAAGGGTTACTTTTGCATCATCGCTGGGCGCGTGGAACTATGGATCACATACAACCACATGATTTGGATGGATCTCCGAATGAATGGATGGCACAGGTTAATCACAATGACTTCAAGCATCTGTGATGTCACTACGATTGGATGTTTTGATAAGAGACCGTATGCCAGTAAAAGGAGCAGGCCTCAATGAGTATGATGTTCTTGCAGCTCAATTCACAACGGCTACATTGTGCATTGGAGCGGTTGGCACAAGGGTGGAAAGTCAGATACAGCAATATCCGAGAGGATATGAGGATCTGAGGTCAAAATTGGCGCAGGCGAATGTGTCGAGGCCGATGCTGGGTGTTCAGGCAAATTCTGGGACTGTTCAAAGAATCCTCAAGTTGCAAAATTGCATCAGGCAAAGCAGCAAAAGGGTGAATGTATCCTCTATTTCTATTTCAAAAAATAACTTTAGGAACAATGCAAGATGTCAATGACTTTTCTTCATGCCTGTCATATGGCTCTATCAGAGCCCAGCATATCTCCCATTGAATTATTTACGAGTCCCATAAAGCTGCTACCCGCATCTGTACTTCCGTCATCTCCTAGAGCATCCTTGAGGATTTTAGATTTGGCTCTGAAAACATTTTTTCAGCCTCTTCTAGCTCACTCATGAAGCTGCTCCACTTCTCCAAATTTTGCTCTTTCGGATTTGGTACCTCTTTTCCAATGCAAAGGCTTGAAACCACTCGCCGAGGGGTTCTGAACTTAGCACCATCGTCGTCGATGGAATTGTCTTGACATATAGCTACTGTGCTGTAGAGATTTTTGTCCCTAGAAGCTTTTAACATGTATTGATTGCCAGGTCCAGCATGCATGCGTTCATCATCGGGGAAAGGTTTGTCCTCGTTTCCCGAGTCATGTTTCGGATTGTATGCGGGCTTTGTCAATTGAGACAAAATGAATCGCTCTTGGCTACTCTCCGCGGCTTCCTCATCACCACGTACGACATTTTGTGCCACACTAGTGGAAAATACATCAGAAAGGGCGGGCGCATTGCTCGGTGAAGTGAACATCAGATTGGCTAACGGGTTTGCAGGCGAACCGGAGTGAGATTTCTGCCCTGTATAGACCGATGACTCCGACACTGTGGATGTTGGTGAAACGGGGGGTTGACTTTGGAGTTGTAGGTCGTCAACAGAATTATCTGCATACATGTTGGCATAGGAAAGACTGTCAGCTTTTGTAGCCTCGTCATATTTATTTTCTTCCATATCTAGCATTGAGATTGTCACGGTTTCAACTTGCTTTGGAATTGGTGCAGTGGGAGGCGGTGGAATCGGCAAATACGATTCCTCGGACGTGTGAGAAGCATCGCTTTGCATGCCATCTTTGTTGGTCAGGGTGTCATCATCTGTCTCGCTAGGCGCGAGCAACGAAAACGTGTCGGTTAGATCACGCGTCGAATCATTGGAGCTTGGCAATTGCTAAGTATTTGCTGTTCCCACTTCACTGTCGCTATCAAACGCAAACGTGTCGGGTGTATTTGTCTTCGGAGGTGCGACAGGAGTCGTTTTGTCCGGAGTCCCATACTCCAGCTCTCGATTGGAAGATTGCGCGTACTTCAACTTTTGGGATCCAAAATCGATGCTGTCGTTCTTGTGGCCAGAATCCTTCTTCCGATTGCGACGTTTTCTGCAAAGAACAAAACAGGCAATTGTAGCCACCACAACAACGCACGCTCCAACAACAGACGCGGTCATAAGAATAGTGGAATCGGAATCGTCGCCTCCAATCATATTTCCAGCCAAATTAAAGACATTATCTTCGCTGGTGTCCAATCTATTATTATCTTGACCGTTTTGTTTCGTGTCATCTGTTGGCGATACCTGTGCTGTTGTGGTTGGGGCGACAGTGGATGAAGGATTTCGGGTGGGTGGCAATGTTGTAGGTACCATGGTAGGTGCGACTGTGTCAGCTGTGCCAATCTGCAACGCAACAATATTCCCAGAAATATCTCCATAGTATAGCAATGCTCCATTTGGCGAAATTGCAAAGTCTGCTTCGACTTCATTTTTACAAAATGGGCTCTCGGAGTCGCAATCAAGTTTCCAGATTTCGTTGCCCCCCCCCCCCAAAGAGAGTGTTGACGAACATTACCATTTTTGCTTTCAATGACATACACCGCATCTTCAACTATGACGGGCTGAGCCAGAATGGCGCTTGCACCATTCATATTGGCCCATTGTTGTTTACCGCCTTTCGATTGAAGACCGTATAATTCCCCATTCGTCCCTGCCAACACCAACATGGATTCATCGTCCGAAATGACGGGAGTAGTCAACAAGGCTACATGCGAACACGATAAGAAGAATCCGATCAATGGATCATTAGACCGACATGCAAATTTTCAAAGTTTGTTCGCGGAAGAGAGACATTACAGAAAATGTAAGTGACACACGGCAACTTGGAAACACGGAATGAAGAAAGGAAACCTGCGTTGACCAGCGTCACTTGTCTTTGTATCGAGCTGCAAGTCCCATTTGGGGTTGACATTTTCTCGCTCTCCTGTCAAGACTTTGGAAATGTCCTTTTGCTGCCATCCTCCAATATTGGCTCCCGAGGCTCCCAGCCATATCGATGAGTCGACCACCAGTGGTCTGGCCGAAGCACTGAAAGGCCAGGAACTGATGTGCTGCATCGTATATGATTCGTTTCCTCTTCCACTGAATCGATTATACTCTTCGGAGTATACCAACAAGTACAGATTTCCTTTTGATCCGTATCCTTGGTCCCACCATTCGGCGACTGCCACAATATCATGTCCACTTTCAAGATCCAATGATGGGGGACCCAAAGGAGCATTGCCTTGGGTGGGAGCGAGGGTAGCTGTCAACACTGGAACACCCGCACGATCATCATTTTGTTCGCTATCAAAGAGCAACACGGAGAGGTATCCAGTTGTGGAATCAACATTGTGTGAAATATAAATAGCTTTGTTGGAAACCGCTGGAGTTCCTATGATTTGACCATCAACTATAACTTGCCACTTGAGACTTCCGTCGAAATTGACCCCAAATACTGCACTTTCGTTTCCTTTTACCACTGAATAGACGACGTATGCATTAGAGGTGCCATCGTGCACCAACACTGGTTTGGAAGAGCATTGGAAAATGCTGCCAGTTGCTATCGGCGGTCGAAAGATTGTGGTCTCCAGAAGACAGAGATTACTCCGCCTGACAATGTGCAGACTTCCATTGGAAGTCGTGGCAACAATGTGAACACCATCTTGCGAGGCAACGACACCATTTCCTTTCTTCAAGGAGTGGGATTGGTTTGTATCATCCAGGTTAAGTGACCATAAAAACCTGGGCTGAGGTGACAACTGAGCGTGACAATAAGTGCATAGCCACAACGACCACAGTGTGAGTAGAAGCACAACTTTCGATGGCCTGGGATCTATCTTCATCGCGCCTCCGTGTGATTGGAACTGTAGAATGAACACCACTTCCCAATTTTCCAATTGGACAAGATACTGTTTTCAATGCGATGATGATTATTGGAAATAATATCCAACGGACGCCAAACAAAAATGTCCAACCAATGAATGTGCAAGTAATTTTCGGATACATGTGACATGCAGGCAGACGGGATCATAATGTGGTACCGCTGGTGTAGCAGGTACCGCTTTATCACTTTATATAAGGATTACGGTTATTAGTAACTTCAGTGGATGTATTACATAGCTGGACTATTCCATCTTTGTCCATTTGGAATTTAATGAAAGTTGGGGAAACAAAAAATCGTAAAACCATGTAAGAAAAATACTTGGATATATAGTCTAGACCAGTTTTTCACGTAGATTTCATTGGAACCATCAGGAATCAGCAAAAACCGCGGTAAAACACTGCAATTTGCATCTGAAATTTTGTCCGTGAGTTGGATTACTTAGAGTTGCGCACGTGCCAAATGTGTCGCATCAACGATTTGAATAAAAAATTCGATATTTTTCGCTCACATTTTACTGACAACAGACAGACCAATCCGGATTCTTGCTTCATCGTTTTTTTCAATTTTGAGAAAAGCTATGGCTCACCATGGTACCAAAGGCAGTTAAAATCTTATTAACCACTAATGCTTCTATAACTAGTAGAGCTATTACTATCAATTGTGTTGAATTGGCACCTGAGTTTCACTATCTACTCCTGGGAGCCTCTGTTGCTCACAAGTCTTGCTTGCTTCTACAAACACAAAATCTCTTCCTGCACCTGCTCCAATGACACATTTGGTATGAGTTTCATCCCAGAAGACAATTTGTGAGATCTCTAAACTTTCTAGTTTAGATTTTGTGTAGTAATCCTTGGTCGGATCCTCCTCCAGTAGACCAAGTTTTATCAGTAGTTGTGTAGCCCATCCCAATCTTGCTTTTGCCCAAGGAGAATTCTCGTCTACCCGTCCTTGACTGCGTAATTTAATCTTTGATACTTTTGGCTTCAGGCTTTTTATGCAAGTGTACACAGACGAGACACTGTATAGAACAAGAGGTGAATCGCAGTCATTGGTGGCATGTTTCTCTTTCAATTCTTCATTCAATAGATTTGTTGCTTCCTCAATTGATGAGCCAGTCTCCACCAGGTTTGCAATTGTTTGCTCCACTACAGAGCCACGCTTGACCACTGCTTGGCGACCCCGACCAGGCCTCACAGAAGGGTCGTACTCAATACCTTGTTCCAGGCAACTCATAATATCTTCTAGTTCTTTCTTGATACAAGTCCCTTCAGGAATTGCTAGAGCTTTCTTGATTTGAGCAGAAACTCCGTTTTTGCCAGACCATTTCTCCCTTGGAGGAGCGTGATGAACATTGATGAAAATATATTCGATGCAGATCCTCTTGGATTCGATTTGCTTACACCTGATATTGGGATTATCAAGTAGACCCTTTGGAGGAATATCTCCCAAGACAACATCCTCAAATTCCAATTCATTGACAGGCGCACCATCATCCTGTACTGCTGTTGTCGCTAGGTCACTTGGCTCTTCGAGCGGCGGTTGTTCATGGATGGTTGGATTCGTTTTTTGTGGTGGTTTCAGGACACCTGGTTCTTTTTTCTTCTTTTTTGCTGGTTCACCACCTTCTTTTGATCCGGAACATTTCCTCCTCCTTGCTAAGTTCTTCGACCTGGCCTTCTTTGGCATCTGGACTATATGTATATTGCCTTGTTATGGCAGTCATCTTGGTGTGGACGGTGGCTCCGGAGAATTTGCAATTTTGATTCGGAGCCTGGAAATTGGTATTTCACGTAGACTTGGTACTTAATATCTTGTGTATGTACAATGTACGGGAAAGAAATTGAGGGCGGAAAAATAGCGCGCGCGCCGAGCATACGGTCATGAAGATAATATAAATTACTTAGGCAAACGGTAACCTTCGACCTTAGATTTGGTATCTCCTCCTGAGATATAGTAGCAATAGTCTAAAAACTGAATAGCCCACGCCACAGACGTACGGTAGGTTGTGAAACACGCGCTAATTAGTGATGACGCGGTAAAACTGAAACTTTTAGGGAACTTTTAGGGAACTTCTTTTAGGGAACTTTTAGGGAACTTTTAGGGAACCTTGAGAGAATTTTTACGGAACTTTTGGGAAATTAATTGAGACTCCCCAAATGCTATCCCTGGTTTCCCATCTCGCAAAGAAACTGTTACTTTTCAAATTGTGAATTTTTATTATGCCATTGGCATCGGTTTTGGACAATCCAATGCTATCAACAAGGGCACTCTTCACTGTCGATAGCCTACAATGAATACTGGAGCGACTGACAATGCTGGACAATAGTAGTTGAAGGATTGG